AGTAATAGCTTGGAGTGGGATGAGTTAGATTCATGCCTTTTCCAAGGGTATTTGTGTGAAAGTGAACGCAACAATCCAAACTGAAATTTGAACTCTTTTTGTCGACTTCCGTTTCAGTGCTGATAATCGTTACGCTACCCGCAAATATTATACTTGTATAATTTGCTGTGATCAAACTGTTAACATATTTGTTCCGATCATCGTCTAGATTGTGGGTATATCATCTGAAAAGAACGATTAAAATTTCCCTTTTAATGTTTCATAATAAAATATATGATGGACACATGGTTTTAATTCTAACTTAAAAAGGTTAAAGGATAATATATAATAAAGTGATATTTTATTTTTTTCAGTATATTTTAGAACGTAATTAAGTGGTTATAAAGTCAGCTCACTTAGAAGAAATATAGTTAATTTCTGACAATCCATTTATTCAAGACTGAAGATATTTAGGTAAACATTATTTCTTCGAAGAAAATGTAAATTGAGTTTTTTTCAAAATTTATATTAAAAGTGCTTACAATACCGTTTTACCAAATCTAACCCAAGAATGTGATGCGTAAGAATCGCGGATGAACTGTTTAATAAACTCAAGTTTTATTTTCCTCTGTAGTTACTGAATACTTGTGAAATGTATGATGTTCGAATATTAGAATACAGTTTAATTTAGAACAAAGGACATGGGAAAAGATATTAATCTATCTCTTGTACTCCAAGATTTGTAAGTAAAACGGTATTTTCTAACCTTAGATGTCAGCAAGTCTGGGGGAATAAAAACTCTGAATTCAAAATCGTGAAGATGACAACGGGGAAAAAAGTTTTATATAACAGGTTAGAATTAGTTCTCTAGCCTTGTATGGCGGCCAGTCTAATAGAAGGAAAACTGAATTCAAAGCTTCACTATCTTTTCCAAAAAGCTATAAAACTTCACAGATAATAAAGAAAAGGGGATCTATGGAGAGCTTTGATTATCTACGTTGTGAAAGAACAGGTTATTTAAAAAAATGTTTTATATATTAGGGTAGACTGGGTCTTCTAGCCTTGTACGCTAGCCAGTTTAATAGAAAAAAAAGCTTTGAATTCAAAACTTCACTATCTTTATCAAAAGGTCATAAAAATTCACAGATGATAAATAAAAGGATCTGTAATTGGTCATATTACCTACATTCTGAATATACATGCCTTTTTTCTAAACCACCAACTATTCATTGATTAGCAAGGCAGAGTTGGTGCTCTAGCCTTGACTACCAGCTGGTTATAGAGAAGCTGGTTATAGAGAAAAATTACTCATAGGCATGAAGAATGTAATAACAAACCACTTCAGTATCTTTCCCAATAAATCATGGTAATATACAGATTACCAAAGAAAACGATTCTATGTAGATATCCATTAATGCCTACAATCCTAATGGATATGGTATAAAAATCATTTAATTTACATGCTCAGGTAGAGTAACGGTTATCGGCGCGGAAAGTGATATAGACGATCCGAGTTCTAATTCCGGCCTAGTCAGTTGTGGTCATTTTCGTACAAATGCCATATGTGAAAGGCATGAACTATCTCTTTTCAACCCGGACTGGACTCTCTATACTTGGACTGTAACCAGCCCTAGAGAAGGGCTACTCTAAATTCAGAACCGTAGAGAAAAAGCAGTAGGAAACCAATCCATTATTTTTCGCAAAAAATCATAGAATCTGTGGAGAGCCATGATCGCCTATGCCCTGAGGGGACATCACATAAAAAATCATATTATTTGTAAGCAGAAGTAGAGTAACGGTTATCAGTGCGAAAAGTGAAATCAACGAGCCGAGTTCAAATTCTGGCCTAGTCAGTACAAATGCCAGTTGGGAAAAGTATGAATATATCCCAAAGGACGAAGAAGGAAAAAAAACGAATGGATCACTGATGAGATTCTCGACATGACGCAAAGGAGACAGAAATCTCTGCCAAGATACGGAATGAAATACAAAAAACTAGACAACGAAATAAGGACCAAATGCAGCCAAGCTAAAGAAGAGTGGCTCAACAAAAAATATCCAGAAATAGATGGAGTACCACCAACAAAGGAGATATATATATAAACAAATAAGGGAACTAACAGGACAGAAGAGATGCTCGTCAATAGGCTGCATAAAATCAAAGGATAGAAAACTCATATTAGAGAAGGAAAAAAATCTTCAACGCTGGAACGAATATATTGGAGAACTCTTCCACGACGTAAGAGAACAGCCAGTAATACACAGAACTATCGACGGGCCTGAAATTCTAAAAATTATAGGAGAAGCTGCACTGACCAAATTGAACAGAAACAAGGTGGCAGGGCCAGACGGAATTGTAACAGAGATGCTGATAGCCTTAGATGATTTTGGCATAGATAAGATTACGGAAATAATAAATGAAATCTACAACAATGGGGATATATCAGAAGATCTAAGCTGATCTATTTTCATAGCACTGCCCAAGAAACCAGGTGCAAACGAATGTGAACTCCATCAGCCTAATGAGCCACATAAAAAACTCATCATCCGTATTCTGATGAACAGAACGCGCAGCAGAATGAGGTCATAAATAGGACAAGAATAGTGCGGGTTCGTTAAAGACACCGGAACAAGAAACGCGATATTCATGCTCAGAATGTTATCAGAAACAGCAATACAAATGCAGAAGAACGTGCACCTGTGTTTTATAGACTACGCAAAGACGTTCGACAAAGTATGCCACAAAGATCTGTTAGAGGTGCTCAGCAACCTTGACATATAGTCAGGAAATACATTGGAATAATCAAAAACCTATACTGGCAGGAAACCGCCTACATAAAGATAAAGAAAATGAGTTCAGCAGATATACAAAAATAGAGAGAGGCGTAAGGCAAGGATGTGTCTTCTCACCGAACTTATTCAAACTATACAGCGAGGCAATTCTGAGAGAATTAGAAATCCTACCAAAATTCATCATTGGCGGACACAATCTTAACAGCATAAGATACGTAGATGACACAGTGCTGGTAGCAGACACATAAAGGAAACTGCAAAACCTCCAGCAAAAGGTAGCGAAGGAGAGCGAGAAGAAAGGGCTAAGCATAAACTAGAAGATGACAGAATGCATGGTCATCTGTAAAAGGATGAGCCCGAAATGCGATTTACAGGTTGGGGACACTAAAATCAAGTAGGTGCGGAAATTTAAATATCTGGGAAGTGTCCTGACAGAGGACGGTAAGTGTGAAGAAGTATTGGGATACCCAAAGACGCATTGTGAGCTAGGCGGAGTATTACGAGACAGGAGGGTTTCGTTGATAACGAAGAAAGGAGTACTGAACTGCTACGTGATATCTGTCCTCCTTTACGGCAACGAATGTTGGACGGTCTTCTGAAAGATGAAGAGATTCAAGGCAGCAGAAGTATGGATCTACAGAAGGATGCTAAGGATACCATGAACTGAACATATGAGCAACGATGAGGCTTTGAAGAGGATGCGAAAAAAGAAAGTCTGATACTCATAGGGTGGATAAAGGGCAAGAAGGACAAGAGAAAGCAACTCGTGACATACTTAACGGGCTTAATCAAGTGGATGGCAAAACAGGGTCTGGGATAAATAATAAAAAGACAAAACTTATTGAGAGCTACAAGGGACAAGAAGAAGTGGAGAGCAATGATCGCGTACATCCTGAATGGACACGGCACATAAAAGTAGAATGTGGAAAGATAGCAAGAAATACTGAGAATAACATGGCCTAGTCAATTGTGGTCACTCTTGTATAGAGGCTATCTGGGAAAGGCATGAATCGATCTCTTCACAACACAGACTGGGCTCTCTCAACTTGTGCCATAACCAATTTTAGGGTAGAGCTACTTAAATTCAGAACCGTAAAGAAGTAACATGAAGCCAATCCACTATGTTTCCCAAGAAGTCAAAGCATATTCTCAAAAAAAAAAAAGAAAAAAAAAGCAATTTGTGGAAAGCCATGATCGTCTATGTCCTTAAGGGACATTATATTTTTTTTTTTAAATGTTCGGGTAGAGTAGCGGTTATCAACGATCCGAGCCTAGTATGTTGTGGTCACTTTTGTGTAAAGGCTATCTGGGAAAGGCATGGATCCATCTCTTCTCAACGCAGACAGGGCTCTCTAAACTTGAGCCGTAACCAGTTTTAGAGAAAAGCTACTCAAATTCAGAACCGTAAAGAAAGCAACAGGAAGCCAATCCATTATCTTTCCCAAGAAATCATAGCATATTCCCCCAAAAAAAAAGAAAAAAAAAAGGAAAAAAAAATCCGTGGAGAGGCACAATTGACTATGTCCTGAAGGAGGGGGGGCATCATATTAAAAAAATCATATTATTTGCAAGTTCGGGTAGAGTAGCGGTTATCGACGATCCGAGTTCTAATTCTGGCCTAGTCAGCTGTAGTCACTCTTGTATAATGGCTATCTGGGAAGGGCATGGATCCATCTCTTCTCAACGCAGACAGAGCTCTCTAAACTTGGACCCTAACCAGTTTTAGAGAAGGGCTACTCTAAATTCAGAACCGTAGAAAAGGTAACGGAAAAAGACTTCAGCTTTCCCCAAGAAGGCCTGACAATTGACAGATAACAAAGAAACAGAATCAGGTAGAGCCATAATTGCCTACACTTTAAAGAGACATTTTTTTTCAAAGAAATCTTGGGTACAACTGGCCAATAGAAGTGATTCTTTAACTTTAAATATCAACTCGTATTGGTAATAAAAAAAATTGGTTTGGACTTTGCTGCATGGCGTTTACTCTACATTCGATTTTCATTTCAGTCACTATATTTGTATGTTTACAAAATCAATAATTCAAGAAGCACAAATAACTATCAAGCATCTTACTGCAATTCTTACTTCAAATATAAAAGTTCCTTGTTAATCACATTGACAATATTGTCCTGATTTTTTCACTATTCATATCACCACTGATATGGTTATATCATTATCGTATTTCTATTTGTCATAAACGCTTGCCATCAATTGAATTGTTGGTTTTTATGTCCTCAAACCCACACATTCACTTAGTTCTCTTCTCTGGTAATATATATTCTCTTCTTCTTCCTTTCTCTCTTGTTCTATTCTTTGTTTTCTCTCTCTCTCTCGCTCTCTCTCTCTCTCTCTCTCTCTGTCCTCTCAATCTTTCTCCCTCTTTCTCTCTATTTCTCTTTCTCTGTATTCTATTCGTTCTTATCGTTATTAATCCCTGCCTCCTTCTTTAAGTCTTCATTTTCCTCTTTCTTTTTTAATCTTCTTCATCTTCTCCTTTTGTCTTAGTTTTTTCATCATCATGATTACTAATCTCATTTTTTCAGCATTATTTGTTTTGTTTCGCATCTTTCATTTTTTTTTTCTTCTTCATTTTCTTTCTCATCCGTTCGGTTCATTATTTCTATCGATGTTGAAGTGATCCTTCCTTCCTTCATAACACCCCCACCCTCGACAACCTATTCTATACCAATACTCTTCTATTCCCACCACCTCGAATTTCCGACGTTGTCGTCATCCATTTGTTATTATTTGCGTTAGCGAAATATCACATTCGGATTCTCTTTTCGTGATCCAGTCTTTGATCCAAGCGTTTCCTTATTTATTCGGATTGGCGCGGGATTATTTTACCTTACTTTTTTTTTCTTTACTCTTTTTACTATCGATTTCACTTTCATTTTCGGATGTTCGTCGCCACTACCCTTACTGTTTCTCCACCACCCCACACACGTGCACCTACCCAGCTATTCCTATCTTCATACTCCCAAAAGCCTTTTCCTTCCTTTTAGGCTCGGCTTACACTAACCTCACAGTCTGCGATTGTGCACATTTCCCGCCAAATCCCCGGCTCCCATCTCCTCTCCATTCTCAATACAACCCCCTTATTTTCAAGCAAACACCTATCCCAACCTTTCCTTTTCCAGAATCCGTAGGACTGACACTGAAACTGTCATTTTCTTCTGTTTTCTCTTTAATTCTCTCTCTTTATTCTTCTATTTTCCCTCTTTTTCTTTTTCTCTCTCTTATATTATCATATATGCTCTCTCTTTTTCTTCTCCTTTTTAGCAATCTCTTTCTCTCTCTCTTTCTCTCTCTCTCTCTCATTTTAGCTCCCAATTTCATTTACATTATTCTTTTATCACTCTATATTTTCCACATTCTTCTTTGAATACGTTTTCAAATCTTTTTTCTTTTTCTCTTTCTCGATTTATAAACTTATTTCTTAGTTTCTCTGACGTCTCTCTACTGAAATCTATATTTATAATATCCTTCCCTTTATTGCCACCACCCCTCATATTTCTTCAATGCTACCCCTAACAAACCCCACCGTCAGAGGGTGTTAGCTCCATAGCTTCACCTCACTCCCAACGCACCACGCCCTGACAACTCCCTTCGCCACGTAAGCGCTTACTATGAGAGACAGGCAGACACCCACGCGAAAATACTCTCCCTTTTATCGCTGTCTCTTTTCTGTACACTTTCCTTTTCTCTTTTCCACCTTAAAAACTCATTCTTTTCACATTCTTTCTAAATTTACCTTGACAACACCCTATTCTTTCTTGCTTATCTTCTCCTCCTCCGCCTCCGATTTCTACCGAAAAAGCTATAATACTCACACTTTCGCCCCACCCAACGCTAATACACCCCAATCCGAGCATTATTATTCATCACCGCCGCCACTCTCAGCGCCGCCAACGTTCCCGCCCTACTGAAACCCCCAATTTCCTAACCCTACTCAATCCCCCAACATCCACACACACCACCACCACCATTGCTACCACTATCATTATCGTAACCATCACCAACACTATCATCGCCATCATCGTCGTCGTCATCATTCCTACCATTACTTCATCCTCATCTCAATAGCGATGAGGATATTTTCAGTCTGCTCCCTGTTTATTTCTTCCCCACCACCACGCATACACAAACACTCCTCCACCTCCATGCCCTAACCACCCATTACCACTCCCTTTCACGTAAGCTCATGAGTCTAACACTCATGCTGACGAACGCACCCCACCTCCCCCATGTCTATTTACACTACAATCGCGAACCCCTACCTTCATCGTCATCATCAGCTCTTCTTCTTCTTCTTCTTCTTCTTCTTCTTCTTCGTCTTCTTCTTCGTCTTCTTCTTCTTCTTCGGGAACCGTCAGCTTTGACACTCCGGAGTAGGTTATAATAGAACGTTTGACGGTAAGCATCTTTGGCAGACGCATTTTTGTTTTTTTCCTGCTTGTTGAGGCGAAGAGGTTTTCTCAGCTGAAGCGAGAAAACAATACGGAGGTTTTTGGGGGTAGGGAAAATAGGGTTGGTAAGGAGGATAGAGAGAAAGAAGAGAAAAAAGGTAGGCGTTAAAGAAATATAAAGTAAAAAAAAAAAAAAAAACAGAAAAAGAAAAAGAATTAAATTGAACAAGAGAAAAAGTAAAAAAATGAAAACTCAGAGATCAGCTTGTTTAAATAAAAAAAAAAAATGAAGAAAACCCGAAGACAGAAAGAGTGAAAAAAAAAACTGAATTAAAGCAAAGATAAGGAAAGAGACGAAGAAAGAACATTACAAAGAAGGTACGAGAAAAGACAAACAGAAACGGAATATGAGATGAAGCTAAAAAAGAAGCTAGAAAAGGAAAAAAAAAAAACGGAAATTAGATAAAAAGTAAATTATAGAAAGGGAGAAAAAGAGAAAGAACCCAATCAAAGAGAGAGAGAGAGAGAGAGGGGGTTGTGAAAGCAAATAAGGAGAATGATAAACGAGGAAGAAGCGATGAGAAATCAAAGATTTGAGATATAATACGGTAGGATGAAAATGAGAGAAAAAGAAAGTGATATCTTGTACTAGAATAAAAAAAGAAGGAGTAAGATAAACGTACGAGATGTGAAGATAATAAAAAGAAAGAAATATTATAAAAGCAAATTAGAGAAAGAAGAGCCAAAAAAAAAAAAAAAAAAGAGAAGAGAATTCAGTGAAAAGTGAAAAGGAAACAAAGTGAGAAAAGATTTACACAAACAGAGAAGGAAACGACAGTCGCACGAGCTGAAGACGGGAAACAGATTTAAGACTTAATGAAAAGATTAAAGAGACGGGAAAAATCAAACAATTAAATATAGCAAGAAAACAGACACCAACAGACAGATGGGAAGATCGATTGATCAATGAAGAAATTGAAAGGCTGACAGAGAATCTGTGAATGTCAGTGATTGACTGGCAGGAAGACAGATGGAAACCGACTGACTGACTAACTGAAAGATTGGCTCAAAGATAGATAGATAGATAGATAGATAGATAGATAGATAGATAGATAGATAGATAGATATGAAAAGATTGAAATAGGTAAGACAACATAAATTAAGATAGATAGACAATCAAATATATATATATATATATATATATATATATATATATATATATATACACACACACACACACAGCAGACACACACACACACAGACACATATATATATATATATATGAGAGAGAGAGATTTTTCGGATCAGCAGACAAGGTCGGTTTAATTTTTTGCTACATTATATACAAGGTTGCCCAGTTCTTTGAGGACATTTGAATGAATTTAGTAAAAGACGCATAAGTGATGAAAGAAGATCTTTCTTTGGGAAAAAAATTGGCTTGAATAATCTTGAGAGACGTCTTGACGCATCTACTTAAGGAATCCGTCGTAAACATCGATGACTGCTTCAATACGATGTTTGAAACGTTGAAATACCTAAATCAGATGAACTTTATCTATTTTGGACATTACGCTAGTTACCATGGACTTCAGAGATTTTAGAGTGTGATGAGGGCGTTGATTGACCCTTTTCTCGATTACGTCCCCATACGTAGTAGGGTTAAGGTTTCAGGTATGGAGAGCTAGGAGGCCATATTTCTGGGATGACGTGATTGTGGAGATTGTAATCTATTAATTCTTGTGTTGTCACTGCCTAATTACACGGCATAGTGTCCTCTTCGCAGGTGTGCGGTTTTCCTTTGCTCACGATCTCTATACAAGTTTGTACAACCCTGTCGACCACCTTCTTATAGTCAGTAACATTGACCTTAAGAAGGAAGGTAAGAAATGAATAGGCTTGATATTTCTCTCGTTACTCACGACTTCCAGAACCATCGGAAAATTTGTGTGTATAACCGTTGAAATATTCCTAGAATAACCATATGTCATTCCTTCGGTTGACTTTTTGGTTATGGTCAAAGTTTTTCTCATCAGAGAAAAAACAAAGCTTTCCAAATTCTTGATGTTTCAACTTGCTCAACAAGTGCTTTATGCGGATCAGGTTATCTTTTGTCTTTATAGACATGAATTATCCTCCCTACATTACATAGTGCTTGTGCCGAAGGTCCCCCTGCAAAATTCTTCTGAGAGAGTACCTTTAAAACTTGAGCTCCTTAGTACTGGAGTTAATTAACTTTCTGTGGTTCTTATTGATTCCTAACCTTTCTTACAAATTTGGGTGCTCTGATAGTATCAGGGCCTTTAGCAGGAATTTTACGTTTTGGCTACTGCTGTAAAATCCCCGTCAGCGGTTTCCAGCTTTTTGTAAGCTTTAACAACAAACGACTATGCAACGTTCATGAAGTGAGTAATGTCTAAACCACTATGCTCTGCCTTTAAGGCAACAATTACAATGTACCTTTTCTTTTGCTGTCTTAGATTGATTTTTGTCATCATTTATGTGAAAAGAAATGATAATCAGAATAAGTGAGAAAATGGTAACAGCTATTAAAAGACACGTCCTCAAAGAACCGAGCAACCACCTCTCTCTCTCCCTCTCTCTCTCTCTCTCTCTCTCTTGCTATATATATATATATATATATATATATATATATATATATATATATTAAGCGTTTCACCCCAAGCAAGGTGGGAAGCCACTAGGACGCAAGGGGTTACAGAAAATTTGGAGCAAGATCAGATAGGAGTGATAGGATGAGGAGAACGATAGTGGATAGATCAAGGCAATGTCGATTGGAGATGTTGATTGACATTACATTTGAATAGTTGGAGATTATAGCTCTCAGGGAAACTGGAATAGGGAAGGGAGTTCCACAGGCGAGAGGTGCGAGATATGAAGTTATTGGAGTAGAAGAGACGGCTACATTTAGTAGTTTCAACAGTGAAAGGATGAGAGCGGGATCCCAGCCTCGTAGGGCGCTTATATATATATATATATATATATATATATATATATATATATATTATTATAATAAAGAGATTGAACAGTAAGATATATAATCCGGATGTCCTCGTTCGTTTGAAAAAGACACCCCGAGCCTACCTTGACTTAACCTCTTTTCGAAAGTAACTAATATGTTGATACAATAGTTGTCAGTGAAAAAGAATACCCTACCCCACCCCTTGTTAAAATGATTGGCTTTCTCCGTATCCATAGAAACTAATATTATGAATGTATGTGCTTATAAAACTCAGTAAATTTCAAAACAATTTATTCCAAAATTCGCTTGAAAATGAAGCAGAACTAGGGAGTTCAATTTTATAACTGAATTTGAAATTTTTAGCTTCTGTTTTTGAAACATGGTAATTCCTGTGTAGCGATGTAACTTATTTTAAATAATATAATGTATCTATAATAATATAATAATATATTTATAATATATGTATATATATATATATAATTATATATAGATAGATAGATAGATATGACAAGCCTTAGAAAGATAGATAGATAGATATGAACAAAATGAGATATACAGATATGACCAAACTGCGATAGATAGATAGATAGATAGATAGATAGATAGATAGATAGAAACAGAATTAGATAGATAGATAGATAGAAACAGAATTAGATAGATAGATAGATAGAAACAAACTGCGATAGATAGATAGATAGATAAAACTGAATAGACTGAGATAGATAGATAGATAGATAGATAGATAGATAGATAGATAGATAGAACTGAATAGACTGAGATAGATAGATAGATAGATAGATAGATAGATAGATAGATAGAACTGAATAGACTGAGATAGATAGATAGATAGATAGAACTGAATAGACTGAGATAGATAGATAGATAGAACTGAATAGACTGAGATAGATAGATAGATACATAGATAGATAGATAGATGTTATTAATTTACTCGTGATGAAACATAAATGATAAGATATTAATGCACCATGTTTATTGGGCATTAATACAGACCTGACCTGTATTCTTTTATGCATACGATCACACAGATGGTGAATACCATCCCGCGAAACATTATTCCATGTTTCTTGTACATCTTGACGCAAAACAATAATAGCTGTAGGTGGGCTAACTGAATATCAGACATCTTTCCATCGTGGCCTGTACATATTCAATGTGGGACAGGCCTGGAAAACGTGCCTGCCTGTTGTCAAACATTTTGCAAAGCATATTGCGTAGCTGGAGTATCATATTAGAGAACATTATCCTCATTGAAGAGCACACGTCTTTTCTCCTACTAGAATTGCAGCAGAAAGGGTTGAACAATGATCTGAATGTACATAGCGCTGTTCAGGGTTTCCTCCACAATCACCTAAGGCTTATAAGAGTTTAAACTATGATACCACGAGTGAGGCCAGCGTGTCGTGGGTAAAGAAACAAAAACTAAATATGTTGCTACTTCATTTTATATCGCACATGCAAACGACCATCAATTGCATGAAAATAGAAACGACTTTCATCACTGAATGCTATTGAGCGCTATTCAGTCGCCTCTCACGTTACCAAAGCACGACCGTACTTTGACGGAAGTGGGAGATTGACAGGAGGAACACGTGCTCGTTGTCTTGCTACAAGTAAACGATTCCACACAATCCGTGCCGACATACCCGGGCAACTGCTCTGATCTTAACATTTTTCTAATCATTTCACCGCAGTGAAAGCGACAGAGTCACTAAAACGCAAAATGTTACAGAGAGTGAGAGAAAATGAGAAAACGTTAGAATAAAAGACAATAAAATAATAGGTTTCAAAAAAAGACATAAGCTAATGATTGACATTACATTTAAATTTGTGATGATCGCACTTGACAAGAAAGCAAGAAACCGGAGGAGCGTCCCGCATGCAAAAGGAACGAGAGAAGAAACTGTTAGAATAGAACTTACGGTTACACCTAGCTATTTAAACAGTCAAACGATTAGACCTAACTAATAATTTATATTGTGTTTAAATTCGTAA